GAAAAGATTCAGAGGCAATTAAACTTAATGAGTATCAAAATAAGCTATATAATCTTAAGCTAGAAGGCCAGCTCTATATATTACGTTTTCAGTTTATAGCATGTTTATGTTAAAAATTATATGGTTTAGGTATTTATGAAGATAAAACTGTATAGTGGCATAGTGATAGACTAGTTAAAGTTAGCTATAAAATAGTATTAGAAATTTGTTGTCTTTTTTATTATTCTATAGAATATATTCTTTTTACTAGACTCTATACAGGAGAAGGATTTATAAAAGAAATAAAAGATAAAGGATGGCATTTCAGTAAGAAAAAAAAAGCTGAAAGTCTTATCGAAAAAGAAATTATGCTAGGATAGCTAAAGAGAATTGATGAATATTTAGTAATAAAAATCTGAGAGTATGTTAATCATATCTGTTATAAACTTTGATCAGTTCCAAGACCATAAGAATTATTGAAATTATTTTATGATAGTGACTTGAATTGTATCATAGCAGAATTACAATGACTAATAAAGTATAAAGGAACAAAATAGACTATAGGGCTAATGTCAGCTCATAAAAGTATCTTTGTGAAATTTAATGAAAAGATACAAGCATCTGGCTATATTTTAGATGATTTGCATGATCTTAAAAAGCCAAAAAAATCTGGAGGTATAGGAATGAAAATTATTATCAAAGATATTTTGGGAAATGAAATATAAAATAATAGTAGATATCTTAAACAGCATAAGTTAACAGTATTTTATCATAATAATTATGCATGGACAGAAGGTACAGTATATCTGAAATGCCTTAAGTATTTTTAGTCTGTGATATGGATTATACAGTAAATATGAAAGAGTACTTGTTTTTGTATATATAGGGACCAAAGAGGAAAAGATTAATATTGATGAAAAAAAGATTACTGAAGCTTTTATATTATTTGTTACAAAAAACTTTCCAAAAGCTATAAGAATATGGATTGTAGGTAAGGAAATTCTAACTTATAAAGGTATTCTTTATCATAGTTCTCATGAATGGAAAAAGTTGAATAATACATTTATATATGAAAAATCACAATCTATACCTAAAGAATTTTTATAGAAAGAGAATATAAATATTTATTAATGGATTGAAGATGAATATCAATTTGATACACTGGCTTCTTCAGAAAAACTTAAAACCAAGTTGATAAAGTTTGGAAGTCACTAAGAGACACTTAGTCTTATTGATTCCATTGCTGGCAAGAAAAAGAAGGTATTGCACCTACACCTAGAAATGTTGTTGAGATTTGGTATAAATCATAGATAAAATCAATGATATAGAATATATCAATAGATCCTCTCCCCAAATATATTCACATAAATCTTTATAAAGTATATCTTGGCTATAAAGATTCAAAACAAAATACATCAGAAGTATTGCCATGGGTTCAAAAATATGGATTTCTAGAGCAAATACAATATCAAGCCTGTGTTGAAAGTATTGAGTCCATTTGTTCTTTGACAGATATTGTTTAACTTGTAGCATGGGAATTCGCTCAAATAGGTGTTAGATCCATTTAATTGATCAATTAAATTATTTGAATAAACTGAATTATCTGATCTATTTGAATAAAATTTATTTGATAATCAATTAAGTCGATTAAATTAATTATCTATTATAATTATCATACAATAAATAATCAAAGATAATAAATAATAGGTAAATAAAAATATTTAAATTTTCTTTCTTTATCTTGTTATAAATGAGTAAACAAAATATAAATGAACATAGTGATAATAAACTGCAAGACAATGATAATAATAATTTGACTGATGAATTATAAGCTATATCGATTTTATCAAAAGTATTGAAACAATTAAAATCCAATCTATCAGATGATTTTTTATCACTATTATCACCTTCAACTTCAACTATTTCTTTAGATACAATTGTTTCTGAAACACATACTTCTAAAATCAATATAACATTAGCTACCATAAGCAATTTTTCTTGTCTTTCTATAAGTAAAGTTTGGAATTATTTTGACAAAAATAAAATCAAAGAAAAAGAAATATACCAAGTAAAGATATTTGATAACGGATATCAAATATGTGAAAAGGCAATAAATTTAAATGCTGGAAAATCTACTAGTAATTTTTGATATTATTTAAAAACTATATATGAAATCTTTAGTAATGAAATATTATTAAGTAAATAGAAGTAACACAATATTACAGAATAAAATCCTATACAAAAAAAAATTGATCACAAATTAGTAAATTTTATATATAATTACAAGTCAATAATCTTTTATGATTTTAATTAATAATAGTTTTATTGATTTAGTTAAAGAATTAGATCCTAATTATAAGCTTCTTTCTAATAAAGCAATCAAAACCATATTAGTATAGGCTTATATACATACAAAGAAATATTTTATCAACAAATTATTGGAATCTTCTTCCTTTTGTTTATTAACAACAGATTTGTGAACAGCACATTCAAAACAAGAATATATAGGAATTATTTGTTTATATCTAAATAAAGACTTCAAATTACATGAATTATTTTTAGCAATTAGATATATATTATATCCACATATAGAAAAGGCTATTGCAAATTTAATTAATGAAATTATAAATGAATAGAATTTAAGCAAATGAGTATTTTGTATTACTACTAATAATAGAAGCAATATGATTAAGACAATTAAACTCTTACTAAAAACAATTAAATTATCTTGTACAGTTTATATATTATAACTCATAATTGAAAAAGGCTTTATTTCATGTAAAATATTTGTTGCACATGCTAAAAGATTAATCAATTTTTTTATAACATCAAAACAAAGTGAAAAACTAGAACAAATACAAAGAAATATAAATATATTTGATAATTAGATTTTATATAAAACAGATCATTATTTACAAATGATAACAGATATTAAGATATGATGGAATTCATCTTATCTTGCATGGAATCAACTAGTAAAGTTATATTATGTTATTAATATAATGATTAGTTTGCTTGAAGTTAAAAATAATTATGACTCAAAACAAGATATTAAACGTCTCAAAAAAATCAATTTAACAATAATTGAATGGGATACAATTAAAGATATTTTATCAATATTACAATTATTTGCTGAATTAACAGAATTTTTGGAAGGAAACAATTATTTAACAATTAGTTTTATGTTTCATGTGATTACTATATTAAT